GAGCAGGAACCACAGAAACAAAAAACATTCCCAAAAAGAAACAACAAAATCATTAAAACAAATAGGCACCTTTACAAAACTTCTGGGACAGAGACATCATGCCGCGCAAGATTTCTTGGCAAATATCCAACTGACGGTCTGCCTGCAACCCGATAAACAACACATCTCTGATGTCTTCAACCCTGGACTTGTGACTGGACTAGACTCTGCACCGTTTTTATCTACCGTAATTTCGGACTTGTTCACACTTTCATATGAAATCCATGGCTCGTGGATGTCATTCGACAGGGCCTAGGAGATCAGTGCTGAAGCGTGAGGATGGGAACGTCTTGAATCCAACGATTGCAGCTCTCCAGTTGCCCCCGGATATTCTCCTAAACCAAGTGCGAAACGCCTACTTTCCCTAACTTGAATCCAAAGGATAATTGGCTTAGGCACCGTTGCCTCCGGATGGCATCCAACAGACTCCAAGAGTTCAAGCCTTCAGCCGACAATTTGGACTCATGTGCTTGGTCCTCCTGTTCCTGTCTTCAACTTAAGCTGTGGGGCAGCTGGTCTGCTTTGGAAACTGAGGGGTTCCTTTCGTATGAAGTCGGCTTGCATTTCTGGATTGCATTCTGCTCTGTCGAGGAAGCTTGCAACTAGCCCTTCGATTTCGCAGTGAAAGCTAGACATTGTGTCCATTACGCAGAGTAGGCGCGTTCTGTCAAGCACGGTCTCATGCTGTCGGCCGCTTCTGTGGCTCACTCGTGGAATAATTGTCAGGACTATCCTGATACCTATAGCTTATTTTGTAAGCATCAAATCGCTTTGGGCAGACCAATTCTTGACTTCGATCTTGTGGCAGGTTTGGGCCAGCATCTACTCCGGCAAAGCACGCGCAGTGAAAGTCATCGCTGGTGAAAAATTCCAAGCCCTTAGTCTTGGCTGATCCGGGGCTCCGTGCACAAAGGAGGCTGCAGGGTCTCTGGCACTAGCCTCACAAGAATCTGGCACGCAAAGTCTCACCCTTCTACCGCATAAGTTGCAATTGTGGATTTCAACCTCGGGCAGCACCTGCTGGTGCATGCTGGTAATATGGGGCGGGGGCTCGCTACCCATGCTCCTTAAGTCTCTTGCCGCTGCTTTGCCCGCAAAATCTCCAGGGTCCATTAGTGGGATTGTCAATGAAAACACGTCTCCCACTGGTAGCCTTACAACAAAGTGGACCATGAAATCAAGTGCACGGGTCAGCCAAAAAGGTGCGCTGCTATGCAACTGCCTTGCTGACGCTCCGGTGAATCTCGTCGGGTGACGGTCTCAGTAGGAAGTAGCACTGAACGAATTCACATTGCAAACGGTTGCTGACGTCCAACCATACCAGCGAAGGGTACTATGCATGCAAGAGGCTGCTTTGTATTCGGTGCCGCACATCCTGGACGCAGCCTTGCGCAGTTGGCTGCAAGCATCCAGTCTTTAAAGTTCCGCATGAGCTGGGAAGCACTTGGTGGGCATGGTGCACCAGACGCGGTTCGCCATAGATCTTCGTGATTTTCTGCTGGGGAAACGTGAGCTCAATGGCCATCAGGCCGTCGAAAATCGAGGTGCAAGAGGCTTGCTACGTTTTTCTGCAAACATTTCACAATCCTCAAAGCACGTGATCACTGACACTGTTAACTGGACATTACGAGTTTCTGCAAGTAAGCGTGAATCATGGTTGCAAGTTCTTGGAATGATGCATATAATGATGCCACATAATTCGCAAGCGGTTCTGCGTGTGCATCTGTATCAGCACACCGAATATGCAAGCAATGTATGGAGAGTGAGAGCTGGTTGAGACATAAGTGGCAGAGCTGCCAGGCTTTCTAGAAAGCAAAGCTAGGCTGGTGCTGAATTACAACTTGATACACGCAGTTACCTGGGTCTGCCAATGAGAGGCGTGGGTCGCTTCTCTACACGGTACTAAGTTTGCAAAAGATATTTGAGTGGACGGTCTCTTCAAGACCGCAGACGGAGTCCACATGGGTTAACAGATGGCGAATGCCTCCTGCACAATATTTGCAGCCGAGGCATACGGGAAAGCACATGTAGGGTGAGTGTGGCATGTTCAGCTCACAGCGCCCGCGCCCTTCATCCTGAACAACTTCGGGCTGCAGGTGGAAAAGCTGCATAATTTGAAGCCAAGTCGCACGGCTTGTACCGTTTCAGATGGAAAGTGCAGGCTAGCCGCTCATCAGCGACGAAACCGAATGCCATGTCATTGGAAGCTGTTTGAGGCGCTGGGGCCGAACCTGCAGATTGGTCAACTGTGTTTATCTGTCACTAACTGCCAAACCATACACTAGTCTTAAACGGATCTATGACAACTGCCGAGTGGCTGCCACCACCGATGAAACTGAATGCAGAGCTCCCCCCTCCAGCAGGGCTCGACATCTGCCCAAGACCAGTCGATGGCATCATAGGGACATTGCCATTTTGATAGGGTGCTTGCGGGCCTGAAGGAGGCATATAGGGTTGCTGCATTTGAGGCTGGGCCATCTGTTGCTGCATCTGCTGCTGCATCTGCGGCTGCATCTGATGCATCTGCTGCATCATGCCGCCCTGCATGGGGTTCATGCCCATACCTTGGCCAGCCATGGCACCACAACTTGGCATCCCGCAGCCACCCATCGGGTTGCAACCCATGGGTCCTCCCATCATGCCGCTGTTGCACATAGAATTGCCCGGGACGCTGCAACCACCGCACATGCCCATCGCGTTGTTGCTTCCCATGCCAGCCGCACAGCCACCCATACCACAGCCCATGTTCCCTCCCATGGGTCCACCCATAGGGCCCCCCATGGGCCCACCCATCTGCGGACTCATCCCGCATCCGCCCATGCAGGGCATCTGCTGTGTGGTGCCTGGCATCATTCCGCCCATCGATGTGCTTGGCATGGAGCCACCTCCCATCATGCCTCCACCCAGCATGCCGGTGCTGCCAGCTGATTGCGGCGGGCAACCGCCCACCACTCCACTGTTCATGCCACCTGCTGCAGGTGCACCTCCCATCATCATAAGGCCACCTCCGCTGCATGCAGTGCTGCCAGTGGCACCGCCTGCATAGGAGCCGAGACGCTCACTGAACTCTACTAGTACCGCTATAGTATTCGCTGCAAGAAAATGGCCTGCGCCAGCAAGGGGTGCTGGTCCGCCCGCAGCTGACACCTCCAAGCCGGAGAATAAGCCACCCTGTGCAGGCGCATTGTGGGTGGCTTGCATGACACCATAATTGTGGGAGGGTTTGCGCATTGATCGGCCTGGGATTCTGGAGCTGGCTGCATCCCCATGACACCTGGCGCAGTAGCCGCAGGAGCTACAATAATTCCAAGACTACAACCATGACCAATGACCCTGACCCTGCGCACCATCAGCAGCAGGTGCATCCATCCCAATGAGCTCGCCACCCAGCAAATCCTCCAAGCAGGATGCCCGAATAGGAAGTGCGGCAACCGTAAGCGTGCAGTTGTACATGAGGCTGATGGAAGTTACCATTCTTGTTATGCACGATCCTGTCCCGCACATGCATAGGTTCTCTAGCGGTGTTTGGAGGAGCTTTGATGGTCAGCATGCGGTCCTGAGAACCAGACGCTGCGTGCGCATGCTGAGCAGGCGGTGCCTGAACATTAAGCCACTGAACAATCTGAAGCACCTGAATATCGGGAACCGTTGCTTTGCATGAGTTATGACTGCCTCATCCTCTAGGAGGGAGCCGCCCGCAGCAGGTTGAGGCGGGGCAGCCTGCAGCAAGGATCACCGAGGCAACAGCACACCAAGGCAACAGAGCATCAGCATCCATCAGCACCGAGCATCGGACCTCATCCATGTCCAGGAGATCTACCATTGGCGGCGGCTTCGGGGGCTCAGGAGCAGCAGGCTCCGGCTCCTCTTCCTTCGGCTCCTCCCTAGGAGGGTGGTGACCCCAACGCCGGCCCTGGTTTGCAGAGTAGTTGCTGCCAGTACCGTAACCAGGGTTGCTGTAATTCCCAGCCCCACCCCCACCTCCATAGCCACTGTTGTAGCCTCCACCACCGTAGCCTCCGCCCTGATTGCTTTGGCTGCCAAACCCACCTCCCACCGGCGGCGGCCGGTATGTGCTGTCAGATGACGAAGGAAACGATGGGGCAGAGTTGGGGACGCCGGTGACTTTGGACTGCAAGTAGGAAACAGCAGACATTGTGCTCGACATGGCTTTGTTGAAGACCTTGGCTGCGATGCCTGCATAAGTTCATAAGCAAGCGTAACAGAAGTTGCAAGATCACCAGATGACCGCAACCTTAAGCCTCCGGCGCTGTCTTTCTCTTCTCTCGGGGCATTGTCAAAATTCGGGTTCCCGAACCCCACCATCCCTCCTCGCAAAAAATCTGCAGCCATGCGTGACGGTTCTCTCCTATCTGTCATCAAGCTAGTCAACATGCTGTGAGTATCCGGTCCTGAGCCAAATGACTTGCCTCCACTGTTGCCAAAGGTGCCACCCTCGAAACTGCTTCCGCCACCTTGGCTGCAACCAATGACCCAGGGCCAGTCATCAAAGGCAGACAAAGATGTACTCCGGATGCTGTGCAGGTGCCACTGAAGCTCGAGGGTAAGTTCCCTATCCTGGCATGTGAAGCTTTCTAGGTTCAGGCTTGAGGGATGAACAAATTTCTGGATCAACGCAAATTAAAATTGAGGATTTGGGTGCCTACTGTGTGCCTGAATACCGAAAACGGCACGATTTGGAGTATCAGAAAGCAGTTAAAACAAGCATGAACATTAAATCGTGAAAGCGTGGGAAAATGCTGAAACATCACGAACAATTGTGCGACATAATGGCCAACCATGAAAAGATGATGCTCAATGTCAATGTGGATTCAAAAAACACATTGTGGAAGATAATGAAGCAGAATAAACAAGTATGAGACACCACAAAAGTTAATGAGAGCTTCTGAAAACCGTGAAAACGATGAACAACCATGAGCCATCGCCAAAATCATGAACAGAGATGAAAACTCATGCGAATCATGGAACATTTTGAAAATCATGCAAAGTGATATACTAATATACACCATGGACCTTCATGAAATATGATGAAACTTGGCGAAGTATGACAATGATGCTCATACATGCCGATTAAATGATGATTTTTGTGGCAACATGACATGCATGATGAAACGTGATTAACTATCATGCTAAATGATGATCAACGATGAAAATTTTGACGCTTGATGAAAGTTCGAAAAAAACCGTGGATAATGACAAAAAACATTGTAAACTCATGAAATCTTATGAAAATAATGGAATTTCATATAGCATGATGCAGCATGTTTAGAAGTGATCCAGAACTAGGACAAATGGTGAACAACAAGCATGACGACAAATGCTTGCGTGAGTTTGCTTTGTAATGAATATGCTCTGTACAGCCACAAAGCGGTGGGGTTTGGGGGGGCACCCCCCACTTGCAAAACCCGGACAAAGATTAGAAGATGTGCTTTCCTCGCCGCTGCTGATCTGGCAATGTAATGTGATTGATGACGAGAAGCGGATAAACATGATGAAGCATGATGAACAATGATGACAATTTAGGAAATATGCTAAACTTGATGAAAGATGAGGGCAAGCCATGAAACATGATAAGAAAGCATGAAAGGTAAGAAAGCAATGAAACCATAACAAGTAATGGAATATTCTGAACATATGCAAAACACAAAACTTGAGTATACTGATAAACAAATGAACGTGGATGAACACTGATTTGCTTGATGATGAGCCATGAAACATGATGACAAAGTCTTCCTTTCCTTCCTTCCTTTGGTTGTGTTCCCACGAACATGTGAGGGCGTTCCACGCGAGAACTAGGTTTCGCGCTGGAATGCGAGGAAGGTCCACGCGAGAGCTAGAATTCGCAGATGGGTTATGCGAGAGCTTGATTTCCCAAGGCGGATGACAAAACATTGAATAACATTCCGTACAACTTGCAGACACTCGGTTTTTCAGCACAGCCCCTAGTGAGCATAGTGCCTTAGTTTTCTTTTCAGATGCGAGGCACCTAACGCAGGCGCTTGGCCGACAAATATGGCAGAAGCTCAAGCTTGTTAGGGACCTACACCCATCCCCTCACACAGCCTGCGGGCGAAAACTCACCTTTCCCACAACTAAATCTGAAAGTACTGAGGGGAGCCATCCTGAACACTTCCACTGACTGAAGTCAGGAAGAATATTATTAGAGAATGAAAAGGCTGGGAAATGGAATTGAAACCAGGGAAGGGTGGGTAGGGAAAAGAAAATGCTTCCAGGAAATGCCTGGTACGATACTTTCAGATACTCTTGAGTACGCTCCTTAGCTATTTTGGCTGTGAAGCAAAAAATAGCAGCAGATGACATACATCAAGTTAGCTCAAGTGTTGCAAGTGTAACCTGGTTGCTGTGTTCCAAGCCGCACTACGCAGGACAAGGATCAACTGAATTTAAGAAAGCCCTGCACGAGAGATCAATTTCCCGGATTTGTTGATCGTAATTCAAGTGTGTCTTGAGCCTTGTTCTTGTTTTTGATCCTCATTTATTTGTTTTTGATCCCCTGTCTTGGCGGGTCGGGGATGACATCTCCGTGACATATGACAATCCTTTGTCATGAGCTCCTTTCAAACGAATACCTGTCACCGTCGCAGGACAATCTAGCTCACGAAGCATGGCAGGCGAAAATCCGGCGCGTATCCCAGAGATGCTCAAAGTTGAGAGGCTGAAGCCTGAAGCCTTCACCCCGTTTTGCCCGAAGTCCTGCTGCTGATGTCATCGCTCGGCTCGCTGCCGAAGCCTTGCATCTTCTTCCCCTGTGCGGTGCTGAAGCCGTAAGCATTCAGCGAGGCGTTGGAGCCTGGGTCATCAGGGATTCAACGATGCCATTCAGCAAGCCACGGCATAGTGCGGCTGAGGAGCTGAACACGGCTTTCACAGCCAAGTCAGCCTCTTCCCTCACAGCTTTGTTTGGAGCATCTCCTCCACACATTGGCTTTAGAAACGCAAGCCAAATGACGCATGCACTGCCGCCTGCAGTTCCGAAGGCAAGCTCCCTGCCTTTCAGTGGATCTGGCGTACCCCGGTACTGCAGGCATGCTTTAACAACATCTGCCTGGCATCGCAACTGGTGCCAGTAGGCACGAAGCACAGACGCTGATACAATTCAGCACAGGTGTGTGAGTGATGAAAATTGTGGCCTTCGACCGCTCGCGATTAGATGTGTCTGTGACTGGAAGGAGAAGTAGCGAACGTGACAGCTCATTGGTTGCGCCCAGCCTTTCTCTGAATTGCTCGCTTGAATTCTGGCTTTCCCTGCTCACATACCTGAGATGAATGGCAAGCATCACGTGCTTAAGGCCGCCTGCATGGGGATAGGCTGCAGCTTGGATACATGCTTGATGATCTTCAAGCATTTGAGTTTCACATGGGGATTGTCTTTTTCCAACCTGAATCGCGCGAGGAAACCAGACATGGAGCAATCTGCGGCAACCGTTCTCTTGACGCCAAGCTGCTTTTTTATCAGATAATCTGCTAACTGCTGACACGCATTCAGGTCAGCGAAAGTTGATTGTGCTATCCTCAATTCTGTCAGGCGGCATCTTCAACCTAAACACCGGACCTGGTTCGTGGAGGACATGCAAAACATCCTGTTTGAGATTCAGCTGAGCATCTCAGTGTATAGGTATCCAGGCGTGGGGATGTCATCAGCGCTGGTGGCTTTGTTCAACGAGGACCTGTCCATCCTGTGGAGGGATGGCTCGAGCGTTCAACCCCACGTTTGCTGAAGGCCGCAATGGGTGCCGCCTCCTTCCACTGAGGAAGGCGAGGGGACTACCACGCCCCCCCCAGCTCTCACACTTTGAGCCGCGCAGCTGCAGTGCACTTGTGGTGGAGTGTCTGGACTTGATTAACGTTGCATGCCCTGAGTCTTGCATTGCTGCTTGTGCGTACGTCGTCTCAAGCCGGGTTGTTGCCCCACGTTGCCATACATTGTTTATCAAACTAGCATTTGGCAGCAGCGCAGGTGGGCCTACATCGCGATGACGGCCTGGGCATGCTGATGGCAGCAAGGCATTATCCAGCCTGGGAGCCCTGCGCTCTGCACGGCCTGTCCCTGATTGGGCAATTGCCTCTGAACCGCAAATGCGTGACAACGAGTTCCATACGATAGCACTTTCCGTGCGCAACTCTAGTGAACGCAGGCTCTCGTGATTTTTGCCCATATGTGGTCCGCATGCCCCCGCATTGTGAGTACTGAGCGAAGAAATCGGGCTACACCGAGCTATGAGCCCGGCTTTCGCAGAGGACATGCCTTGCAGGACGGCACTAAACGCTGCTCTGCGGTGAGGGTGACGCCTGCTGCCCTGCCAGCCTGTGTTGCACTCTGAGCACGCGCAACTGCGCCTCCTGGCTTCCAGATGCTTCATTGCAGTATAGACTTCTACTGCTTCTGCTTGTCATCCTCTAAACATGATACAGCCTGCATGCTCCACCGAAACTTTGCACCCGACACAAACACAGCGCCTGAGACATCGATATCCGAGCAAGCGGATGCCTCTGCTTCATCTGCTCTTGATTCTGTGAACAGAAGAGAACGCTTCTCAGCACTCCATGATTAGATAGGCTTGGAACTTGCTTCGTCTGTGAGCCCTGTGCAGGTCTTTGGCACTTTGGATCCTATGGCCGGAACCTGGGTGACATCCACCCTCTCAAGAGAGCACCCACCGGGGAAGCGCTCGACCTTCACAACATGGGCACGTGGACGTCTACATGCAATGCCTCAAACTTCTCAAGTTGCCCCTCTCGTCCGGGCAGCCAGCTGACGACTTCAGCAGCCGCACAAGTTCCTCAGATACTGCGCGGAGCTTCTCTTCCGGCATCAGCATCCGCAGTGAACCGAAGAAGTTTCTTGGCAATCGAGTTGCGACGAATGTAGGTCTCCTCTCCTCGTCTGGGCAGCAGACACTCTGCAGGGCCAACCTTGGACACTTTGGAAACACATTTTGGTCCCCACCAACCACAAAGCTTCTCCAAGCAAACAAGGATCCATAATGACCCCTCGAAGCCCAGATTCGCATGAACTAACTTGCCAAAGCTTCCCTGCAGATCTTGGGATCTTTTGTCTCTAGCTCTGCTCGAGGCGCATTCGCAGGCGATCCAAGGAGGCCTTGGCACTTTCCCAGGCCTCCACGGTACCTTTGGAGCTAACTTGGCTCACAGTCTCTGTCTCGGCCTCCAGTGCCTGAAGAGCCTTCCAGCGATCTTTGGCTACCTGAAGGGCGATCTGTTCTCGGCGATGGGCTTCGAGTTTTTGCCGTCGCACCTCTGCAACCTCTGCCAATTGTCGTTGCAGCTCAGCTGTCACTGCTGACTCTCTCATGGCTGCGCTGCTGGCCTGCAGCACTGCATCTTGTTGCGCTGCGATAGACAGCTGGAGGTGCTCGCACTCCCGGCGCACCGCTCGTGCAAGCTGCAGAGCTTCGGTAAGTTCAGCCTCTTTCTCCTGCGTCGCAGCCACGGCAGCAGCATGTGCTTGCTTGACTTCTTGCAGAGCTGGAGGCTGGTTTTCCTCCAGAGCCTTTGCAGGATTTCCGGTGCATGAGCTGTTCCGCAGCTGCTCCACCAACCGAATGACGACATTCCAAGCTGCGGAGTCCTCCTGGAATGCGGCAAGCAGCCGCAAATATTGCAAAGCCTCCTGCCACAAATCTATGCCAGGATCGGCCAGCAGGGGCTCTGCCTTGTCTTCAGGTGTTTCACTTGGCACAGCAGGGGTAGGCCTAGGCTCCAGGTTAAGGGCCGCTGTCCTCTCAGCTTCTCGCTGAGCTTCTCGTTGAGCTGCGGGGTCCGGCGCTCGCAAGTTGGATCCGGACTGAACCGGCGGCGAGCGTGCTTCAAGGATGATCTGAATCAGCTGTGCCTGCGTGCGATTGGCCAAGAGGTCTGGATGTATGCCCAGATCCAGGGCCCAAAAGCTCAGCTCGCGCAGCGGCAGCAGTTGCAGTCGCTCGAATTGATTTAAAGAGCTCAAGGGTCTTTGTGCACCTTTGCGCAGGTACGGTTCCAGATTCACTAGATACTGCTGCTGCCCCCCGTGCACGCTTCCAGGTCGCGCCACACGAGACCACCCAATGAATGTCCGTGCCGTGAAACCAAAGTGCTTCATGGCATAAATCCCTATCAACGTGGCAGTTCGCCCCAGCCCGGACCTGCAGTGGACAACAAAAGCTCCGTTGCTGGATTCAACAACCTGCAGAAACTTGCAGATGAGCTCGACATTTGGACAGCCACCGTCTTCAAAGGGCAGCCACTCGTGTTTGATTCCAGCAGATTCGAATATTCTGGAATCATAGCTGATCAGCTCCCTCCTCTCCCCTTTCTCCTCACCCTGGGGATGGTTGCATTGAATTATGAGACTAATCTTGTTCTCCAGGAAGAAAGGAACGAGGACATCTGGCGTGCAAACGGGCATCCCCTCAGCATCCTGATCCTGTGCCCAAGGGCTGGCCATTGCAAGAGCCTTGAGTCCCAATATCCAGCTCATGTCTCCATGCTCCGTTCGCAGCATCTGATTGTGCATCTCTGCCTGGTAGATACGATAATCCAACCATCCAAGGTCTCTGGCTCGCTGTATGCCTGTCAAGACATCCAGCAGCGCTAGCTTGAAGTCGGAGTCGTCTCCTTGCAGCTGAATTCCGTTCGAGCCTTCCCCACGGCAGTCCAGGAATGGAGGCAAATCCAAAAGGGCAAAGGGCTGGAAAGCTGCTTGTGCTGAAAGTCCTTTTGCCAGAATGGAGTATGAACAGCAAAGGATCACCGTGTTGCTCCAAAGTTCTCGCGGACCATCAGCAGTTACGTGGACCAGAACTCTGCAGCCAGGATGTGATTGGCAAAGCGCATCAACCCACCGGCAGTAGGTTACTGTGGCCGCAACGTCCAGAGGCCCAAAGTCACGTTCACTTAGAGGCTCATATCTGAATTCCACTTTGTCCTCAGCAAGCAGCAAGGTACGGAAGACAGCCTGTCAAGGGCTCTTTAGGCATCGCTTGCTCACCTGGCCTAACCCAGCCTGCCTGAATAGAATTGTTCAAATTGTCTACTGTATAAAACCCAAATCACCGAAGCTGAGGGGCATCAGTGGCGAAAGCAACAACCTTGGCTGCACTTCTTCAGCCTCCTTCCCTACATGCAGCCAGCTTTCAGAAGCTATTGAAACACGCAAAGTGTTGCCCAGACACCCCGTCGCCAGATGGACACGCACTTTGCGATGCCCAGACCAGAGCAGGACCTCCATGGATCCTCAACCAGGTCACAGATGCCATCTTAAGCGCAATGAATTAACAACTTCGCGGAGCTTCGGCTACCACAACTCTCCTCCATGCTGGTGTGACTAAAGACTCTCCCGATATGAGTTGAGGCACGTCGCTTTACTGCCCTCAGAGGTTGACAGATGTCTGCATCTGGTGCTTACTTTCCTAACCACGCCAATCTGAACATGCCCTACTCACGCCAGCTCTGAGCATTGTGCGGCATCTTGATCTTCCACAGCGGGCATGCCATCGGACTTACACTTGTGCTAGGCGCAGCCGGATGTAAAGCAATTTTGTGACTCTGGTCTATCAGTCTATCAGTCTTTTCAGCTGCCATTGAGGCTGCTGGTAGAGCAGGACTAGCCGAGCGGACTGAAGTGGCTGCCTTTCCATGGCAAAGTTCACAGAAAATTCTAGGCGTCTTCCTATTGCCCTGGCGAACTTTGCACCATCACCACGCTTGCCAAAGAAATTGCGCTTAAATCCTCTCGGCATTGTCCGCACTGGGCCACATCTAGTACAACCAGTCTGGCCTCTTAGTCTTGGCTGGTATCCGCTGCCAATTGAGCATGCACGCCGTGGCACCTCCGCACCTCCCTGACTTTGTGGAGTTGCACTTGAGGTTGCAGGTCCAGGCAAAGGCCAGCCGCTGTCAGCCTATAAAGACTTTGGCCTCTCTCCGGCGCTCAAGGCTGCGGCTTCTCGACGACTTCTCCTGGCTCAACATCATGACAAATTCATCCGCGACCTCGCAACCTCGAAAAATACAAGTCTGCCAGGTCACCCTGTAGGCTCGAGTCCGTGGTGGTGAGAGCTGCTTCCGTGCTCGCAGGCGCTCGAGAGCAGCCTTCTGTCGATCTGCCTGATGTCAAGGCATTTTCACCGGGGCTTTTGCAACGTGAAACCCTTCTTCGCGCCTTCGAGACAGAGGAGTTGTCAACAGGTACCTCCTTTGGCGAGCTGGGGGTGTCCGCTGTGCGTCTGCGGCCGTAAATGTCCTTGGCACACGTTGCAAAACGACCGACTGACTCTGCACAAGCTGGCCCTGGCTGCCAACGAGCGTCGAACATGTCTTCGCTTGGTCCTTGGCTTGTGGCATAACGCCGCAAACTTGTACAGTCAAGTGCTGAGCAATTCCACTCAGCCCTTGCGCCATGCAGCACCGTTCGGCTCTGCCCTGATCATCACTCTGCGTGGGCAACCAGATTTTATGTGTGTGTAGATATGTATTTAGAGAGCCTCTTTAATGATAATATATATACATATTACATTATAGGTGCATGCATTTCTCAGCAACAATTAACAGACACAGATCTTCCCACAGATGGCACAATATCGCTGCATATAGTACAGAACCGAACCGCTCGGTACTATTATGGACTATATATATATTTATATACATAGTCGATATTTTACGATCGTTGGGGCTTCCATGCACTTCCGGACTGTTTATGATCCTTTGGACTTGTTGGGGATCGTGATTTGCGCGTTCGCGTCGCGCATCGCGATGATAAATGCCTTAGAATGGGCCCGAGCGGTTGGGCCCGTTTTATATGTGGCTCGGGCAGGCGTTATGCCTTCAACAGAATCGCCCAAAAGAGGCCCATGCACCTGGTAATGTCTCGGGTTCCACATGAGACCGTGGCAAGTAAAATCCGGCCAAGTGTCCGGACTTTGCGTCCCTTCGCGGCAGAAAACACTTGGCACCTAGCAACTGCAGCATATGAGGTTTCTGAGTGCAAAGCATTCGCTGACATTCGATTTTTGGGCAATACGCCACCGATACCCAGCTGCTTGGGTAGTTGCGTGGTGCTTCAGACATGACAAGCTACAAAGCAAGTGTTGTCGTCAGTCAGTGGATGGCGGAGAGGCAAGGACATTATGGGTGAGTTGCAGCCAGTTAAGCAGGCATTCATTAGTTGGCGCTTGAGGCACAGTGCGGCTTTCCGGGCACATTGGACATTCCTGAGCTTTGAAAACTGCTCTAGGCCTCTGATTATCGATGCCAGTGAGGTCAGACTTCACAGAACGCGCACGCACATCGAAGTGAACCGTTAATTGCCTTCGAGTGGCCACACCTTGGGCTCAGCAATGCATGCAGGCAGATGCAAGACGTGCATCAAGCGGAATGCAATAAGCCGTTGACTGACATTGCCACCTGAGACGTCACCAGGCGCAAGGAACACAAAGACTCAAGCTCAAGCACCTGGCCTGGGAGGAGCCGATTCACTCGGCTGTCGCCCATCGCGCCCCCCTGAAATATGGATGTGCCCTTTCTTCGACTTGCCACCCCGATCGCGAGATCGCCCATGTGAATGGGCCCGAGATCGGCCCCGTGAATGGCCGCGAACGCGGCCGCGTGGGTGACCACCTGAATCACGCCGCGAACTGCTGCGATGTGTGCCTCAAGTGACATCAAGTGCAGCACCATTGAACGTCAAACAGAAATGCCTGGTCATGTAAAATTGTCTGCCTGAAAGGCCTGGCTCTTTGCTTCCAGCTGCGGGACGAGGATCGAGAAGAGCTCCGCCGCGTCATGTAGGCAAGGAGCGCTGCATGTTTGCTTGCTCTCAGCCCAATGCAGTGGTGATTGTGCAGTCTGCTCTTTATTGGCAAATGCAGGTATGCTGACTTAGCGGAGTCGGGGCGTCTCATTGCAGATGCCCATCTTGAGCAATGGTTCATGAGTCCGTACTGGCTGCGTCGACGGACGCGGTATGGAGGACTCGTACTATCTCTTGAAAGACATGGCTGCACGTTAGCAGGGCACTGCTTTAGAAGGCCGACTCACGGGACTGATGTTCACTTCACAAGTCTTATCCTTAGAAACTTTAGAATCCGGATCGGGTTCGGTCTCGTAACTCGCAGTTACGTTGCCCAAGCTGCAGGAGTAGGGTTCCCGGTTTCACTAAAGCATCGTACAGTCACCAACCATCAAAAACAAATGCAGGTTTGTCTATCATCTCTTCGCTTGCTTTTGGGTGAAACTCTGGCATGCTGTGATGGGCAAATCTCGCCCACTGCACAGACGTATCTTGATCAGACTCTGCCAAAAGGCTTCAGGAGCCTGGCATTCCTTGACTCAGGCTTGATGACGGACTCCGTGCCCACCGGCGGATCCTTTCCTTTTCGTGCACAGCTCATAGATGCAAGACGCGCTCAAGAACAAGCACAACCAGAATACACCCTACTTTGACCCGCAAAGCTGCTCTTTCTTCCTGGCTGCCCTAGCTCTTCGGCTTGGTCAGGAAACCATTTAGAGACCTCGCCGTGAAAGAAGCATGACATGCATTTGTTGATTGGCAGGCTTCCGTTCCACTGCCTTCACCTCCACGCCCTTGATGCAAGGGAGCTCCACCTCCTGGCACTGGAGGACTAGCTCGACAGTCTGCGGGCTGTCGAAGTGCAGCACATACCTCCTCGGCCACAGGCTGAAGTGTATAAATTCTCTGAAATGGGCTTGTTCGGAGCTTGCTTTATTCCTGCTCCTGACCTCTTGACTCACTTACCTGTGGAACACTTGGAAGCAGGAAGATGTGGGAACACCCGCTGACGGGGATCGCCAGAACAGGAATCGCACGCCAAACTAATATCTGATGTGGTCAGTTGGGCGTCTCATATCCAATGTACTCTGCTTCCAACACATTGCCATACTTGCCGAAGTATTCGAGAAGGTCGTCTCCTTGCTGTGCCAACCCATGCCACAACCAGGCTGTAGTGCTGCCCATTGCTGCCCTGCATATTATGTAAACACCCAAACGCAGCAGGGCAGCTTGTGCACTTCAGAGGAACAATCATCACCAGCTTGTCAGATCGGCATGGGTCGGTCTTGCTCCCCTTCTTATCGGGCCGTGTGCTCTGCCATTTGCAGTCCACATGCCGATGGTACCCAGGCATCTGCAAGACGTGTGAGAGCATGCGGGAACAGCGGAAAAACCTACAATCAAAACAGTGCTGCATACGACTCCCCACCTCTGAGGCACTGTCAAGCCGCACCGTATCAGCGGCGTCGCGCACCCACCAGACCAACAATGGGCAGCCATGTGTGCTCGAACATCCGCATAGCTGACTATAGGATGCTTGTTGCTAAAACTTCTCTTGTTCTTCCTCAAGTACGATCAATCGTGTGATGATGGTAGATGCAGTTGCTTCTTTTTCACCCTGACTGTGACTAACAGTCGTTAAGGACCTCTCTCTCTCTCTCTCTGAAACCCTGATGATCAATTAGCTTCCGCCCCTCCATGGGAAACCACAATCAGCTGAAGCCTTCCCTCTCTGCGTGGAGACGACTGTTGAGTGGCCCACTGACCAAATCATGTTGAAGAGATGGCTGCTCTGGAAGCTTCCGTCGCCTTGCCTGTGCAGCCTGACATGTCAATATCTGCACTATGGATCCGGGCGGAGCAAGTTCCTCGAAAAGGTTCCGAGGCCTCAGCTTAGCAAGCGGCTTCTGAAGGCCGCCGACTGACATGCCGTTGGTGTGGTGTCAAAGCTGGTGAGTCGCGAGGACATTGCATTACCGAGCCAGTTTGGAGACTGTAGGCTACTGGCCAACTTGCTGTCGAGTCCACGGACCTGCGCGCATCACTTAGGCCTGAGGCTCAACAGAACCTTGTTCCTCTCAGCTTCTCAGAATGCAGGTCAGAGATGCTCAAAGCTATTTATTGCTGAACCTCAAGAGCCGCTGCAGTGCGCCGGGTGTGTTTGGAGCCACAGTCTGGGCCTGTGCAGAGTTCCCGCTACAGTTCAGTAGCAGCTTGAAATTCAGAGGCGATAGACCATCTGGTGCAATGATGACGTTATCAAGCTGCCTTCTGTAAACCTTTGATCATGTTGACGTAAGTTCTGAAGCAGCTCACATTGAAACGGTTCAGCCACCCTTTCTCTGCCGTGCTGTATCTAGACTCCACACAAGCTTATTGCACTTGCCGCGCAATCGCCGACACAGAGCGTATGTCGAATGCAGAATTCAATTCCTAGCCCCCACGCAGACAGCAATATACCGGCTTGCTTCCCCTTGGCGCCGTGCAATCGGAAAAACGATGCCTCAAGAAGAAATGTCAAAGCCTATGTGAGGCTGCTTGAGGACTTTACTTAGCCGAGCAAGTGCGCTATATCCAACACGTCGCGGAGGCCTTGAAACTTCAGGCCATGAAACGGTTGCTTGTGATCTTCTCGCGCTATGGAGACTCAAGGTTTTGTCTCACCTTTACCTTACGTTGAAACCCCCCAAATTCGGACAGGTTATGATTGAGCAAGTAGCCAATTACTACTCCCCCTGCACTTGCTGAGCTGACAAGGTCGTTTTGGGGGGCAACATCTCGGGGTGCTGAGGAAATTGTTTTCAAAGCAGAAGAAGCGGGCTCGTGCTCTGCCGCTAAAGGAATACATGGAAACGCATGTCTGGATGCCTCCGAGAGCTGTAGCAAAAGGCAGCTGTGAGCTACAGGAGGGCCATGCAGATTCAGCAAGATTCTGAAAGTAGGAGGCGCCACGCTCCAAGAATGATGTGCCATTCACGCGTTTTGCAGTTTAGTATCTGAGCCCTCCTTCAAACAAATAAAAGAGGCCAAAAGCAGAATGCCTTGGTCTGTGGGGCACACAGAAGCTAGAGTTGGCATACGCAACATCTCAAGACCTACTCAGCGAAAGAATCAAAGAAAACACAACGTGAGGCAGGAATTCTGACATGCCTCGGGGTGCTGATGCATCTTTTGCGGAAGGGTCCAGGCCTGGGGCTTGACTCGGCTTGATCATGCAAGGATCCACGAACGATTCTGCTGTTGGCCTTGTGGCTGAAACCTTCATTCTTTGATGCAGGCATTACACGGCACCAAGACAAATGCCCTCATTCTGCGCTGTTGAACAGTTGGACCAGAACTGAAGCTGGATGTATGGAATTTGGAACCTCGTGCCTGGCTGTGCAATTCACGTCAGTAGGTTTGAGTACTCTTTCTATGCAAACAGTGCAAACATAAAAAATGCTGCTGTAAGCATGTGGCCTGTGAGCACCTCCAGCATGACCATGCCGAAGGAGTACACCTTCGGACAATTAACTGGTGGGGCACTGCTTGCAGGAACCAGAGCAGGCGAAGGAGCGCTTTTTGCTCAGTGCAAATCAGATTGAAGGGAGGCTCTTTCCGCTGCCTCGGATGATTCGGTGCAGCGTCGCGAGCGCTCGTAGAGAGGACCTTCTGGACTCAACAGTCCGCAGTCGGGCTGAGATGTCAGGCTGCAGTCCATAACTTAGGCTCTTTTGTCGCCTGTGGTACGGACGTCGCCTACACGTCCTGGTGACGGGCTCCATCTATGGTCCGAACTTTGACCTTTTAGCCTTCTTCTGTAGGAAAACCCTCCGTTATGCCTAGTTTACCAAGCCTATGTCCCTGACCCCTTCATCGAATCTGGCTTTCCGGCCGTAGGGTGCTGCAGGGTACTGGTATGACTTTGCATGCCCATTCCCCTCCTCGACAAAAAATATGCTTGCATCACATGCTGCACAAATACCACACGTGCCGAAACTGGCTACCACGCAGCAAATAACTTGATCCAGTTCTGCAACGAAAGCATTCTGTGGTTCTGATGGGCAGATTCTGACAGAATCCGGCCACCATAAGATGACACCACGCAAGCGACTTTAGCTGAGGAGATGCTTTCGCATGTCGTGCGCCAAGGTGAGCGCATTTGTATCCCGGAGTGCCGCCAACTGTCTTGACCTGCAGTAGCAGAACCGATCTCTCTCTGTCTGCCATGCCATTGGGAAGGTCCGGTAAGCCTAAACAGCTCTTCAATGCAAGCATGTCTCGAGCAAACACAACATTGAACAACATTGCCAGCATCCACGTCCGTCCTCGCATGCTGAGAAATCTGAAGCTAGGAAAGCCGGCCGTGATGTTTGTCGCGCCGTGCTTGCTGACACAACTCAGGCCTAGGTTGACTCTCACAGTCATGCTGTTGCCTTGAAGCAAGAGGGGATCGTGTAGAAAGAGTACTTGTAGCAGAAGTTTAGCTTGTAGCGATGGCTTCACATGCCCACCATGCTGCGTGTACAGGCAGGCCAGCGCTTTGTTTCCGGTGCTTAAGTATGCAAACGATGAAGTCTGCCGCAGTTCATCTTGTCTTGGAAAAAGCCTGCAGCATGGAACACAAAAAAAAGAGGCAACGTCACCTGCTTCCAGCTGCAGTCAGTCTCTGAACCAAGGCCGCGAGGCATTGCGAGGATGGCCGCTGCCAGAGCTGCAAATAGCGCTGATCTGAAGTGCTTCAATGCCCGGCGCCGGGCGGCAGCGGGTTCCCCAGGGCGTAGTCTCTGCCATGTTCGGCAAAGCTCTGGCCTCCGGCACATTTTGGACATGCTGGGCCACCACAATGCATTTAGTCGGCTAGTCCTGGCAGGTCTCTTCAGGCCTCCAGAGCCAGACGCAAAAGTCCAGCGAATTCCAGAAATGCCAGGACAGCTGAGGCCACCAAACCTGCAGCAGCATGCAAATTCGACAGTCCTGCGACACCAGTTAGCAGCCGAGCGGCCACATCCGTAGTGAGCTCCTTTTCTTAGGCACATGTTGTTTCGAGAAACAGCTCAATCGCAGCTGACTGTTGCGGTGCCATTCCTACTGCAGACCAAATCCCAGACTAAGTGAGTAAGCAACCTGCGTGGGCACCCGTTCTGCAGAGACCCCTTCTTGTTGGCCTAGGTTTTTAACTGCTTGGGGGCAGGAGCTGATGTTTGGGAGACCTGGAGCCCTGCTCTGAAAGCATCCGCTCCTGAAGATGAGGTGATCGCCTCACTGCATCTCGCACTCCCAATGGGGAGAGGCGCTCACAGCCCTGGCAGCGCAAGCGCTGCAACTCGGGGGCGCCTGTCGAATCAAACCATCTTTCAAGGAAGGGTGCGACACTTGCAGAAATCCGAAGTCCCCCGCCAGCCACGTTCAGCAAGGCTGCGTCATCGAACTGCTGGCAATCCTGGTTGTCATAGTGTGCTCCAACATTTTCTACTTTTTTTGCAAATTCCTGCATGCCAAGTATCCGTCGTGTCCAGAGATCTGAGGTGAAAGAACCGGCACAGCTTCAGGGCTTCCTTTGAACAAATACGAAGCCAGTGCTCTTATTGGCAGTTGTAACAACAGTGTTCCGAGGAGCGGGTCTCAGAATATGACAGCCAGAACAATCCACCTCTTCTGCGGACTCCAGAAGTCCACAGCCTTCCACATGCACGAAAACTCAAAATGTGAAAGAAAGTCCTTTTCAAGCAGGCGCACCTTCTGGTGGCAAAGATATCTCAGAGCATGGCAGCCACAGGCGAAGGGAAGCGGCTGAGCGCGCACCTGCTAATGCTTAGTCTGAATTGTAGAGCGTATCGAAAGCCAGCACTGCAGACTAACACAGACACAAGATCATGAACAACAAAGAATCAAACATGCGGGTTTCAAGCTATAACGCCTAGATTTGGCATTGAATACCTTGCTCCAGCGATGGGAGAAGCATTAGGAAAGCTTGAGCACCGTACGGACACTGCGGCTTGGACACTACAGAAAGCTACGGGGTTGCGCACTCTAGGGACACTCTCGAGCATTATCCCGATGTCTCAAACTTTACAGCGCCAGCCCAGCCACACCCAGGAAAAGGGATTGTCCTGCCTGGCACCAGCCTTGCCTTGCGCGGCCAAAGAACTTGAGCCCGCCAGGAAGGCAGCAAAAGATCAATTCTCCGGGCGCAGCGAAGGCCTTGCATCCGCAGCTTGAGGTTCTGCTCACTTTTCAGTTTGATTCAAGACCTGCCACTTGTTCGCCGAGGCACCCGTGAGGTCCAACTTGTTCAGGCGCTTAGATGAGATCAGAATTGAGACAGGTTCTAGCTCGCCGGCAAGGTTTGAAGGCTCTTCTGCACCACCTCCTTGCATGCAAAGAAGACAGGCACGAACTTCTGTTTGCTCGTTGCTCCGTGCGTCTCCTTGAAGGCTGCCAGTGAAGGGTGGAGCTGCAGTGGGTGGCTGCAGCATTGACAGAAAGGGCAGCTGCAGACCTTGGGGCCAAGCGTAACTATTTAATGAATGCACATGCATTAGATACACATGAAAAATACAGGACACTTTATACATTTTGGCTTGCAAATTGTTGACGGCCCATCCTTCGCAAAAGATCCAGGCAAGCTCAGCAACGCAAGTCACAAACCTGATGATGCTAGCTTTGGAAAAATGAAGTTCAGCCGGGAACATATGTACACGACCTCTTCTCAGATTTCCCAACACGATTAGCAAATCCATCCAAGCAGCGAAGCTCAATTAGCTCCTCCCAGGACATAAGACCACGCCTATGGTACCTATGTCGCATGTTGCACCTACTCTTTCGCAACTCAGAAGTTTGAAGTGTGAGCTCCACAGCCATGCAGTCCTGCCACCGCAGGGGGTTCAGGTCCAAGCATGCAAGCCTTCCAGCACTGAAAGGCTTGTGGAGCCAGCTTTGCAAAGCTGATAACATAGCTTTGCACAGCAGATCACTATTGCCTGTCAGACTCCAAGACCAGCCGCCGCAAATTTGCCGCAGCAAGTGGCGCCGAAGGCAACATCATACAACTTGGCCAGCGTTGTTGCTGCAATGTTTCAGAGCATCAAGATGACCACTGCATCCGCAAACAAACTACACGCGGGGCAGGCCGTGTAAAGCAAAACGTAGAAGCAGAATTAACCATCGTTCATCGTGCAAGCTGCTGGCCAGGTGCTGGAGATTGGAGCAATGAAGGCGCAAGGTCTGCAGACGATGGTTCCGGCTGAGGCGTAGCTTCAGCTCCTTTCCGGACTCAGGTCCCTGGTTCTCTTAAGCTCGCATGAAGACCCCAACATGAGATCCGTTCTGTGAAGCTCCTCGAGCTTTGAGCTAGACAGCTCGAGGGTCTCCAAAGATGCGCATTGAGAGAGCTGCAGCTGCTCTAGCTGCTGGAATCCTGCGAGCAGATGAGACCTGACGGGAAGGTATCATCGCAGATGATGCGTGGAAGTGAGATCTCGAAAGTCTGCTTTGCTCTTGATGCCCTTCAAGCTGCAGGCTCCGGCTGGATAGGCCGGCACAGCCGCTGAGATGTAGCTCGGAAATGCGCGGAGCATGGACGTCGACGGATTCTGCTGCCTGGTGATGCGGCGCAATACAAGTGGTTTGCTTCATGAACTGTGGAAAGTCAGGTGGTTGGCCTTGAGGTGTAGCTGCAGCTTTGGCAGCTGCGTTGCTTGAAGCAGAACGCTCCGGAGTTCGCCACCCTGCAGTGAACTGGCTAGTAGCGAGAAAACCGCTACTGTAAGTACCACTGTGCAGCTTGAACTTTGCATAACTTTGCTTCTCGACTTTACCACCTGTGCACTGGATGGTCAGCCTGGGGAAGAGCAAGCTCCTGCAGCTTGGAGCCACGCAACTTGAGCCTTGAGGCATGGTACCAAGCAAATCCAACTCCAACCACTGCACCCAAAGCAAAATTCTACAAGGAAGCACGGCAAAGTGCCTTCGGAGCTCACCAAAAACAGCCCAGTCAGAGAGATCCAGCGCAGCCAAGCTAGGCACCTGTCTATGCTTAGAGAATGTGTAGAACCACGAGGAGGTTCCAAAAATTAGGAGTACAATCGTGATGGGGCTCCCAATGACGAAGCTTGTGGTATTTGGGCGGTCTATATTTGGGTCCCCCTACTTATGGGGAAAGCGCGAAATCAATTTCAATGACTACAGCAGGTGGTCTCACACAGAGGTGCCTCGAGGCATAACTCCTGGAGTTGCAGGGCATCTGGCAAGTGGAGCATCTCGACGCCTACCACGCTTACCACGATCAGAAGGTGCTGAGGTCAATCTCTCACGATTTCATGCGCTTGACACTGTGATCATGCAGCGCCAGCAGAGCAGGTCTTTCTCAACAGGAGCGAGCATTCAGCGTCAACACCTGTTCTAAGACCTCTCAAGGAGAAGACGTTGCTCATCCTCACTTCTTCATGGCGTCCACCTGGTCACGGACCTCCAAGC